TCCGCTCACTCAGGACTGCTATTACATAACATACAACTTTTCAGTAAAATCAGACGTTTTGATTGGTTGGCTCTCGTGTGTTATCAAAGTATAGATACACGGATTACGTCACACTGTCAAATGAAAAGATAGTTTTCTCGTTGTTTTGACTTTTTTTACGTGTTTTGACATTTTCGTTTGCAATAAAACTAATTTTTTGTTGWATAAAACAGATAGATCTCATTTTTCCGTGTGCGTGTACTCTAATAGATACACAGATGACGTCAAAATGTAGTGAGAACAACAGTCACACACTCGACTGCAAACACACACGCACACGGAAAAATGAGATCTATTTGTTAATCATCGTATTTCTTGATCTTCAAAGACTCCAATATCTAATTATCATAATTATAGCATCATTATAACCACCGAGTGACGTTCGTTACAAAGTCAGGGAACCATGATATTCTTTTCTTTCTTTCTTTATTCCAATACTAAAGTAACCGTGTAAATCAAGTTGCGTGACAGTACATAAATACTAAAAAAGTGATTTGATTATTCAAGGTCAAATTCTGGGAATTTCCCTAAACCAAATATTTGGTACTTTCCCTTTGAAAAAAAACCCTTTCAAGTTCCTTGGAATCTCGCTGAATCCAACCTATTTACCAATATCACACGAATATCATTGTAACTGTTACAACTAAGGTAGCCAATACTGATTCCACGTGAAGTGTTTTCCATGTTGTTAGGAAGCAGAGTCGTTCGTGGTCCAGATTGGAAGTGGGGTGATCAGGATGGTGGCGAGGGACATGTCGGGACAATTATAGGCATTTTAAGTGAATATGAGGAAGGAATACCATTGGATAAGGCAACAGTAGAAGTATGCTGGGATACTGGGAATGTAGCTGCGTATAGTGTAAGCATCGAGCAGCGAAATCATGATTTGAGGCTCCTTGACTCGTCGCCAAGCGGTATGTTTATTTACGTTCATTTTTGGTACTGGATTTCTGAGCTTTTCAGTTATTATTTTCAAATTTGAATGTTCTTTTATTAGGGAAAAATTTCCCCATTGTAAATTACTATTATTTCAGTTCATCTACTATGATTTATTTGATGAGCTTTGTATGCGCATTTTGCACTAGTTTACATGGCGATCTTTTGATGACGACCATCGACGTAAAGCGGCCATATTTGATTTCTGTAAAATGTTGATTTAAAAACCTTTGAAAAAACTGAGATTATAACTACATTAGTACGATCCACATGATTAAAATAATCAATATATACGACTATACAACAATTTTTTTTAAAAAAGTATTTAATGCCCGCTAATATAATGATAGACGAACTCTTTAAAAATATAATATCATGAACTAAATAAAATTGAAAAGCTTATTCATACTGATAAATATATTCACTAGAGATTCTTTTAAACATTATTTAGGTGTGAAGTTTACAAACTTTGAATGTGATGGCTGTGGAGCAAAACCAATCTTGGGCCTCTGCTGGGATTGCAATGACTGTTCCAACTATTGCTTATGTTCAACATGCTACATGGAAGATCATCATTATCTTGATCATAACTTTGTATGCAAACTCCATGAGAAGCACGAGGGGTCTGTATTGTTGTAAAGTMTAATACAGTTTATTGCAATTATAGGCCTACTCCAGGCGGGGAAGTCGYCGYCTTAAGYGACATTTAAACTGTAGGGCATTATGGACGATTTTAACACCCCCTCCTTCCCGGTTATTTTAAGAAACATTATGCCGAGTACTACATATCCTCCCGAGTATATAGTACAGCAACTTGTACACTAGTACACCCCAATTTTGGGTGGGGGTGTGCCGCACGACCCTCAAAACCCTCACCCTATCCCAGACCAATTTTTGTGATTTTAGATACCCCATCCTACATCTAAGGGCAAAACTCCACCCTACCCCAGACAATGAGACTATACCCTATCCTACACAAAAACTACCCTATCCCAGACAAAACGTCTACCCTAACCCAGATAATGGACAAAAAATGATACACTATACCATCCCCCCCCCCTCCCCCCGGTACATACCATTATCAATAGCCAGCATTTTTCTAAATTATAAACCCAATTTTACTAGACACATTTTTAGCTGAGCTCTCTTTTCCTAAACAAGGAAAGAAGCCGGTATCTTAAGAAAGTCTTATCTTCTTTCAGACACCTTGTTGGCAAACGTTCTCAGTGCAACAAGTATCAAGCAAGAGGTATTTACCCTGGTTCCCATGTTACACCGCGTGATCCTGACTCACCATTGGGTATTGGTATTGTCATTGATATAAGCGAGATTGAGGGGGAAACACTTGGTAAATGTGGAGTGCTCTGGGACGAAACAGCTGAAGATGTTTATATTCACAATTTAGGACTGGATGGGCACGTAAGTATCTCCGATCCATAAGACACAAGCGACAAAACGGCACAGGGTTATACCAACGTAAATAAGGTTTCCAAAAAAAACAACCCCCTTCAATCTTCCCAGCCGTTTGCGACACCAATGATGCTGTCTAGTTTTTTACATTATTTAGGCTCCAATAAAGTATAATGCTGCAAAGAGTTAAACATTTTAACATTTTAACGAATCTTCTCGATGTTCAGGTAGAGCTCATGCTCGTGGAGAGCGCCAATGGTCCAATGTATTACAGAGATCATCTTCCTCTCGTGAAAATGGAGGAKGGTCAATTRTATGTAGGAGATTACGTYTGCATCCACCGTTTAGAGAGCGTCAATGTATGTTCGTCAGATGACTCGCAAAAGGTATGAACGAACGTGTACAGCAAAGAAATACGGTTTCGCACAAAGTGCAATTTTACTTATCTTACAGCGATCAAGACAACAAAAAGTTGCTTATTTTGTTGTTGTTGTAAAAAAAGGCCAAAACAATCTATTTCTTTCAAATAGCTCGTTGGTGAAATTGGGATAGTCAATAAGATTGACGCTTCAGATGGATCAGTTTCAGTTAAATACGAGGGTCTGGGAGGAGAGGTGTGGCGATATCCAGCTCCAAGTACTCTTTCAAAGGTAAAAAATAGTAAAGAAAATCAAGGCAACTCTTTGCTTCATCATTAACCTATCGCATACCTCGAGTCTATTATACCATTATCTTTTGAAGACAACAGCTAGTCACTCCTAGTTTGTAGTGTATTGATGTGCTACCTGTGTTACCGAATCTGGAAATCTAGATCCGAGTCGGATAATCAATTGCAAAACCAATTTATTAATTCCATTTGATCGTGATCTTTTATATCAGACTCCTAAACTTTCAAAAGATGATGTCGTTAGGCTGACTGATAATATACAGGCTTTGCAAAAACTGCAGACAGAGAAACACAAGGGATTTCACCCGGACATGAAGGAGGTAAAATACAAATTACTTGATTGAGTAAGTTTGTTTGTATTAACAAATCGCCCTGAAGAGTGATACTAACTTATATGATTGCATATATACGAAGTAAATGTCTAAAAAGCACTTATCGCACAGATAAGTAAAAAATCTTTTTATTCATCATGTCGAAGGTCTTGACGATTGACGTTTATCACGGTTGACAGCTCAAAAAAAACAGCGACTTTGACTGTCGACGGCTAAATTTAGGCCTAGTCCGGGACCTAAAATTGCCTAAAATTGCCTAAAATTGCCCAAAATCGCAGTAAATCGCCTTAGATTTAGATGGGTTTTTGGTGATTTTTGCTTAAATCGACTAAAATCGCAGTAAATCGCCTTAGATTTACATGGGTTTTTGGTGATTTTTGCTTAAATCGACTAAAATCGCTTAAAATCGCCTGCAATCGCGCAAAATTACGGCGATTTTAGGTTGATTCCATTGAGATCCTCTCCTAATGCAAAAATGGTGCATGTTTTGGCGATGAAACTGCAAAACATAAGGTACCATAAATGATTATTTGTGCTAACTTGATGTTTATTGCAATTTTAACAAGGACCTGAATGCAGTAGGGATTGTTTTGGAGATGGAAAATGGTACAGCGAAAGTGTCATTTACGTGGCGAGTGTTTACGTCATTTACGTGGTGGATTAATCCAGCTGCTCTAGAGAAAGTGGATAAAACAGCAGTAGTTGGACAAGTTTTCAAAGAATTGAAAGTATCAGTAGGTGCGTTGTTTGCAGCTAAAGAACTAAAATCAAAATCTGCTAAAAAAGTCAGGAAGTCATTGTAATTCGATATGAGAAATCTATATTGTGTTGCAAAGTTATGTTCATGTTATAGAGAGATCAAACGCCACTTGCCATTTACAAAGTGTCTGCAAATGTCGTCGTTAAAGTATTGAATATCCGTTGATAACTTGAAATAATTCTGTAATGTCCTGAGGTTTTTTCTACCAACTTTACCTCGATAAATCACAATATTTTTAGCTATTAATATTATTGTTTATATCCACGTGTTATTTTTGGAAGATTCTGGTGCTGAGAAGGTGGGAGAGTTTTTTTTGAAAACCGTTACTTTGGCTAAGAGTGGATGGGAAGATATTTTAAAGTCAGCCCACCAGGAAACGGTAAGTTAATATAGAAATACTAAATCAGCGAATGAATGAGGCAAGTCAAAAGTGGACGTGTCGACTTTAATTAGGTCCGAAAAGCCTGAGATGGCATAAGAGGAATAGCACCATTTGGCATAGAATACAATGCAGCCCGGCCTTGTTGCAAAGAGAGTTCCAATGCGGAGATGCATCGGTCTGCAACACCTATTTGTGAATAAGCAACCTTTTGTTCATGTAAAATACTGATTTATTCAATGTAGGTTAATATGGTGACAGACCGAGTTCTTGATACTTTGGAAGAAGGACGTGTAAGACGCACAAGCGAAGTCAGTGAACGTAAGTGTTATCCCTGTTTTTTCAGTAGAATAAAAGCAGCGCCTTTTTTTGGTTCTTTTGTTCGGTTTTGAGTAAAACATCATGTAGCTCTTGTCACTTTTCTCAGAGCAATATTCCAGTGGTCCGAAAGACGATCCAGATTCGAGCGATGTTTACAGGATGAAAAGTAACCCCAGAGGATTGMTGGTCATCATTAACATCCAGAAATTTGTAGTCGAYCCTACACATGAAGATAAAGAACAKCTTGAAAGAGAATTWACCGAGCGAAACGGATCTGAAAAAGATGTTAATGATCTAGCTGACCTTTTCAGCAGATATTTGAATTTCAAAGTTTGTACCATCATAGACAAACCAAGAAATGAACTTTTGGGAGATCTGCGAAAAACTGCTGAAAACTCTGCGTATAAAGATTACGACTGTCT